CATTGCTTTTGGCAATAGATTCATCAATGTGTTTGTTTAATTTTTCAAGAATTTACCATCTGACATAACACTTTCCAACACATGATGTCCGTAGCCCTGGTAGAAATGCAATCTGCAAATCGCTCCGAGTAGTTCAAGCATTGGTCTTTGAGATAAGCATTACCCAGCACTATCGGTTTCATCAAGACACCAATAACGGGATATCATACCAATACATCCTCAACCGTCAAGACAAACTGGATTAGAATCCACAGAACTTTGGGGTATGAATTATTTACAATTGAGGAGCCCTCAAGCCTTTTTAATTGTGGTGATCTACTCATATACAAGCTAGATTTGATTATCTTTAGAAACACTATACTGAAAGAGTCATCGTGTTAAGAGCTGAGTATCTTTCAACCCATATTAAAAACATTGGTGTTTCATGATAGGATTCTGTAGATATGGCTCTAAAGGATAATGTCGTATTTTCCAACAAAATATGGGGTTGTTCGTACTGCAAGGTGAAAAAGGCAGCTATTAAAAGGTTATATAAAACTGAAGTACAGGTATGATTAAAACTGACAACCAATACTCTAATTTTTGAAAAAATATCAAATGTCGCATTTACCAACATACGGGGCTGTTCATACCGCAAGGTGAAAAATAGGCTTTCAATAAAAAGTTGTATAAAACTGAAAATTGGCGAAATGATCATTTTATCTAAAATGGACGACTGGCAAGTTGGAAAAGTAATATATCTGTGGGTATTTTGTGAGCACTGACTGAAAATGCAGCACATTCAGTAACTGATTATAAACATTATGAATATCAAACCTACACGGTGATGACTTCCTTGCCCAATCTTTTAAAATCATATTAACGTAAACATTTAGTCATAAATAAAGACCAAAATACAACGACATAAACATTGAATATTCTTGGTGCTGCGTGGACACTACTCTATCTGATTGAAGATAAACCAATGCCATGAAGTTCACCTATACACTCGATAAAAATGTCATGTTTGCCATCTACATTTGAAACTCAAAACTGGAAAAACAAGAGGCTGGGGTAAAATATATTGCATCATAGGAACGTAAATAATCCCCTTTGCAAGTGGTTAACTTACACACGCCTTGTTTAGCTTGTATTGGCACAATTAAAAACATAGAAAAGAGATCAATAAAGAATGTGAAAACAGAGTTATTTGTCTAAGGCGCCGTTACAAACCTCCTTAAACTTGTACCAGTGATGAAATTACCGCACATGCCTACATGTACGTAAGTCACTGCATGTTGCTACATGTATTAAAAAATCACTGCAGCTACACCGTTTGTCTTTAGATGCATATAAATGTACGTCCTGAATCCAAACATCTTAATTATACATGTACCCTATGATAAAGACGTTGTATTCAGTCAATTATCATAACATATAAATAAATTCATATTTCTTATTTTTAGTGTATTGTTTTCAGTTGTCTAACTATACTTTCTGGACAATGGCCACAATGGCCACCTAGTTGTCAGCCGAAACCAAAGCTGTGTATACTGTGTAAGATCAATAACAAATTGTGCAACCTCTTAATGGACTGCCTGCGACGGCATGTTGTTTTCCCAGATACCCCCCTCCATCATCAGAGAGAAGCTAAGCGCCCAAAGCCACTGATCAATCAGAACGAAAGAGACATAGAAACCTAACCTTAGACTTTTCTGAATGCCTTCAGAAATAGTAGCTGCAAATATTTAGCTTGAATCTTAACAAGAAGCGAGAAGCAATAAAGCATATGTGTTCTTGTCGAAAGTGAGTTACAAAGCCGTGTATTTGAGTCAGTGGTTCAATAAAGCCTTTTGGTAGACAGATTTAATGCGATAAGTGAAATTTGCTAAATGGTTTTAGTTGAAAAAAGTTGCACAATCACGGGTTGCAGTGAAACTCTATTACAAAAAAGCAAATGTTAGATAAACTATATATATAAATAAAGCAGTTGGACCAAAACAATCAATTCAAAATAACCTCTGCCTTTAGAAAAAGTAGAACACATCATACAATTTCCATGAGACCAGATTAAATGATATGTTGCAATTATTGAAAATGATATTGGTTAGATTTAAAACAGACAAAAGCACTAACGAGAAATCCGCTTTGCTTTTCGACAATTCTTCGATCAGCACTTGCAAGCCCCCACCATTTTCACTCTTAACTTGAAAATATCACATGAAAAATTTAAATTATTGGTTGAAGTGTAGACTTGTTTGTGTATTTTAAGGACCAATAAACATTTTAAGACCAGCGTTGCGTGTTTGTGGTTAATTTGCGTGTAACTGAATATTTATATCACGGCAGAAGTAAGCCAGCGCCCTTGCAGCACGAAGAGGCTGGGTTTTATCATTCCACATGCTGGGCAGCAGATACCAAAACCTCTATTTCTTCACAGCAAAGTTTAAGGCTTGTCATAATGTTACGTTTTCTTCTTTAAGAGAGGGATGGTGAAATGTATCTTCAAAAATTCACCAACAAACCTGAATTTCGTCTTATTTTCCCAGAGTTTCGGCTCAGCAAAACTTCCCTTCTGTCAAATACAACAAATATTTCAGACACAACCTTATAATTCGTACAATGTTGTTGATATTTGCGACAGGCAGCAGGTTTTCCATATGACAAGTAAAAGTGTTACAATTTATATGCATGCCACACGTCGGTTACGGGCTTAAGATGTTTAGGTCCTGAAAATTGTGCCGAATAACAAATGGAACAGTGTATTACGTCATCTCTCGCATACCTGCACATTGACCGTGAGATAATAAATAAATATTCAGAACAGGTACTCTTACTTGACCTCACGACCTTAAATCGATATTATTCACTTAACAACGACCTTCAAAGCCCCACCTAAATCATTTGACATCCCAGTCAACATGCGATCAAAGACAAGGCTTGAATTGTTGTTTTTCTCTAGAAGAAATCTGACCCGATCTCGCGGTATTGCATTTCGCGCTGGTTTATTGTGGTTTCTGCAAGTCACGAACATTACAAGTTTGATTAATATACTTTTTCTATGAGACATTTAGCAAGACATACCGTGTCAAGTCTCTTTTCAGACCATGGAAGTATTATTGGAAATATAACACTCTCGCTGTAGAAAGTGTCCACCTCGCAATTGAATACGAATATCGTTATGCTGTTTTATTTCCAAGACAAAATTTTGAATCAAAAGACAATCTTTATTTACTTTTTTATGGGGGGGGGGGGGGGCGCTACATCCCAGTGCTGTTCTCAAATATGTGTATGTGTAGTCAGTTCACCAAGTTCAGGATGTCAATCCCTTTTCACTAGTTTTCGAAAATGTCAAATTATAGCTGGTAAATGCTGTATTTCCATAAATAAAACCTTGCGTATACTATGTGCCTTCCATTAAATGTGTTGTATATACAACATTATGTGACGTAAATAAAGTAGCGTTATTTGCTATACCGAGCTACCTGTAGATATAAGGCACATGTAGGTAGGCTGAAACACGTGGTGTGCATATGTAGGATATCCGAAAATGACGGAAAATGCCATCAGGCCAGAGACCATGCTCGTCTACTGAAATTCATTAACGATAAACGAAAGAGCAAAGAGCATATTCAAATATATATTTTTAATTTTCTGTCAGTTTAAATTACAGATGACGTACATGTACACGAAGTGAGCAAGAAATAAATTCTCTCTGTCTTTATCATATTGATGAAGTACTCAGTAGATATTATAATCGATGTGGTAACATGTCTACACATTCTGCAGTTTGGAGAGGGGTCAATCAATCCACAGTATACTAGTTAGTCAATTCTCCAAGCAATTGTCCGAATAGGCTAAATGTAATTGTCGTCATAAAAGGGATATGCGGACAGATGATCTAATCAAAGCTACAGAATATATTTTATCTAGGGGGAGTAAGAGTTTACCTGGCATACAGAGATAACGACAACATTTGTACTTGTATTGTATCCGTCTATCACTTGCAGTGAACCTCAAAGTATTTGGATTTTCGATGTCTATTTTCATAGATTTATACACAGACAAACACCCAGATACATTGAACACTTGCATAATTTTACTGCATTGCAGTAGCACCTACCCGGCACTCAAACTGAGCAATGTTAATCACCCGTATGACCCTTGTTTAAAACATTACATACATCTTTCTTTTTGGAAAGCTAACGATGTCAATACAAGGTACCCACTTTATACATGTAGGATCCCCAAACTATTGCCTGTGGAGAGTTTATATTATATTATATTAACATTTAACACACTCATTTATCATATATGTATATTTTGTCTCAGTAATATACGGTCCCTCCTCTCTCTCTCTCTCTCTCTCTCTCTCTCTCTCTCTCTCTCTCTCTGTGTGTGTGTGTGTGGGGGGGGGGGGCACGCGCAGGCATAGCAAATGAAAAGAAACTGAACAAATATTAGCAGAAACAGTGAAATCCCATTCTTCTTCCCTACTCGCTCGTCAGTAACCCGTCTTTGGAGCATTTTGTGTTGCGGTCCAAACAATCAGCTTAATTACTGGTCGTATTTACTGACCATTTTAGAATTCAGACAATGTCTTTATATACGCAGGGCTAACTGGCATTTATCTAGCAGTTTTACTTGTGCAAAGCCCATACATTCTTTGACGGACTGGCATATGTTGTATTATTACGTAATGAAGTTCTTGTTTAGAACATTACCCAAGCTCGGCGGTTGGTAGACATGATTAGGGCATGTTCAATCTGATTTATCACGTACAGAAGTGATATATTACATATAAATTGAATTTTAAAAAGAAACACTTGCCTGATATAGCCTACACCTCTAGGCTATTTGTCAAAGAAAATCGTCTGAGCAGAAATGGTTGCGAAAGATAATCGGTTCCGTAACATATTATTCAAACAATATATATAAGCAACCAAGGAAACATGGATACAAAACACATAAACAGGCCCCAGTCTATCTCTCTTTTCTCCATTTATTTCTAAACCACTTACCTTACAGCTGGAGTATGGAGTTTGGGTATAGTTTATGCCAGAACCTCCAGACTTAGTCCATACACTGCACACCGTGCTAATGTCTGGCAAAAATTCCTATGTACACTAACAATAGCATACTTCACAACAGGTTAACGCAACTGTTATTGCGGTAGTATACTAAGCCGTATAAATAAACATTTCGATTCCCTGGACCTAACTCCAGAAAAACAAAATTATTTCTCCGTATCCTAATTTGCCTTGAAGTTGTTCACTGCAATGGAGTTTGTTTCCTTGGGTCAGTGTGAGCGCTTTTCACCGCGTCATGGACTCGCCTGGTATAGAGCAGGTAAGTCCTTGACTCAACAAGGCACGTCGCTCTTTGACACAGGCATAATACAAAAATCGTATTATTAGGTAGCAGTCACGGCATTGGACAATTCTCAATAGAATAATGCATTTAATAACACATAAGGTCATTGCTACAATCGACCTAATAATAAATCACGTAAGTGGTTCCGTTCTTACTCGTTAAAAAGCGCGTCTGAGGCGAGTTCTAGTATTTCCTCCGTAAACACTGTCGACTTTATGTAATGTTCCTTCTCTGTAAAGCAGTTTTGGTTTGGGCGTGAGAATCGATACGACCAAGCAAACTTATAAAAAGCTTATTAAGATACAATTAAAATAATATTAAGATAATATCAAAATACAATTTGCAAGATAAAGTTATATTCCTACTGTTGTTGTTATGGCCAAGAAACATAAAACTTTTCGTTTTTGTAGAAGGATAATGGCATAAAGATAAGACTACTTGTGCAACACTTTTCTTTTATTAGTTTTTGCCTTAGAGGATAGCGGGGAGGAATAAAAGGGGGTAGGTAGAGTGGGTGGATTAAAGACTCCAGATATTTCTACACTGGAAATATAAACCCATCCAGTTGTTCCTAGTAGTTATTTCGGGTTAAAGATAAATTGACAAGTGGAGTAATTGCCTGTGGCATGAGCCCAATCAAGTCTGCCCAAAAGATGTTCTTTATTTAACAATGTGTCAGTTAATGCAGCAATTATTTTTGCGATCTATTACCAGCAGAATCATAACAGTATACAACTCTAATATGCGTAACCGTTTTAATATTTACAGCAAATTTTAATTCGTATTAAAAGAATGTGTGCATGTTATATTTTAATCTTGACCAGGGGGATTTAAAATCAGCTTAGGCCAGGTTAAAATATAAGTCATAGTCAATTATGAGTTATAAGTAGCTCGGGATAATTATCACATCCCTTGAAATTCCCACCGGAGTACATTTTAGTTAGATACAATCCATACATAAGAACAACCTCCCGTTATCATAAATAACTATCTAGCATATTGGGGTTTACAAAACATTTTTGCCTTACAAGGGTTATTTTGATTGCTACCATCTTATGTACCTTGACAAACATTTTAAATTCATTTTCATTTTCATATTCTAAAATATAGTCATCATTATTCTCGATTATGTAAGCATCAATTATAAGTAAATTGGTAGTGAAGAACATAGGGCTAGGTAGATGCGACATGGTGTCACCAATAAGTTGAAAATTCTATGTTTCCTACATGGCCAGCCCAAATTGAAATCCAAAACATATATATAGATACTTACATACCAGTTATATTCACACCAAGGCTAACATGTAAACACACCAGTAAATAACGTTAAAAAGCAAAAAAGCTGAGGTGAAGGCTATTCGTGATAATTTATCCAAGTTGTCAGCGTTCCACTTTGAGTGTAGGGGCGTGAAATCCAAATTGTCTGCTGAAACATGGCACTGCTTTTGTCGTCTTAGAGGAACAGCCTCGGCTACTTCTGGTAATGTCAAAGGGATGTTTGACATTATCATGTTGTCCATAGGGCCTTGGAACTGTAAGAAGAGTTTTCAACAACTGATCACAAAATCTGTCAATTCACTTTCATGGCATTTAACAGCTCAGCATGTCAAAAGCTTAACAAAAGTAGTTTAGAATAAGGTAATTCCAAAACTGCACATGACGACTCGTTATAGAATCCCATAGCCTAACAGCAATATGCGATGCAATATATTACATTTTGGGGGGAAAACATAAGGACAAAACATCAGCTTTGAGTAGGATTCGAATGCATGTTATTGTTTTGAATAATTTACAAAGCACACACGAGCAATATGCTTAGGTGAGACTCTAATACTATATGTATGTGGTATGCCTGGATTATTTTTACGTACAGCCTTCTTAATATTGGCATTTTTCTCTGGTCTAGTTGCCTTTTCCTTCTGTCTAGCCTCTCTCTGGAGCATGACATTGGCCGCTGCATACTCCAACATAGATGCTACGACAAATATTAGACAGACTGCCATCCACACGTCTACAGCTTTTATGTAGGAGACTCTGGGCAACCTCTGCTGTAAAGTCACGCTCTGCGTAGTGATGGTAAGCACAGTGATGACACCTATCGACACGCGCGCTGGCGTCGCTCTGGGATCTATCATGAAGTTTACAAAGGAGATAATGACGACTACGAAAGATGGAGCGTAGACGTTTAGAACGTAATACCGCATGTCCCGACTCAGCTGAAATTCGGCGTAGATACAAGGGTATTCTCCTGGAAATTTATATGATTGTAATTAATTTTAGTTTCAATGATCAATCAATGATACTGTACAATTGGACTTTTCTTGCGTATACAGGATTATTTTTACTTAGATAAGCAAAAAAATGGCAGGCATCTTTGTTAACTTCCCTTTTCCGCAGGGGGGGGGGGAGGGGCAATTTTGTAAGAAGGGGTATCGGGAAATGACATTTTATCTAGTCCAAAAGCGATGATGAAATCATTCAATTAAATAAACAGTGCTCCCGGCTATATACAGCATCATAACGTTTACCCGTGGAAGTTCCTGTGGTGCAGTATTTAGGAGAGTCACTTTCCAATGTGAATTCCGGCAGATAAAGATCGTCTTTTCTCTGAATAGGATCTGTCTCCTTCCAGAAAATGTTGACATCTTCAGTGGTGTACGCATCTGGTAGGGACATTAAAAAACGTGAGTAATTGAAACTGATTACACTAGAAAGCAACTTTCGTTCTTTTAAATAATCCGCAACGACAGTTGTGGGAGCAGGTTGTAATAATACTTCTGTTTCTTTCCAAATTATTTTCATTTGGTTCATTTTATAATCCAAGTTGAAAAGTTAACCCAAGCCAAATATTTGAGGACTGTAAACTTGTTATCATTTCTTGATTTGGCATGAGCCAACTTCAGGAGGAATGAGACACCTTCACCTCGGAGTGACTTTGAGGAGTTTTATTTATATCTAGTAAATTTCTATCAACTTTAGAAACATAATTTAAAAAAAATAATAACTGCACATGTGCGCTTTTACATATACCGATCGTCACATATTCAGTTCCTATAGACACAATTTATGTAATTAAGAATTATGCGTTTTTCATTACTTGTAGTCATCTAAACAATACTCACAGCTGTGTATTTCAATCCTGCAGGTCTGTGAATCCATTGGGAATTTGTAGAAATCGTACAGGCAGGAAAGCTTCATAGAGATTCTAGTGTTAAAAAAGGACCAATTCATCCATCCTGCAATATCTGTACATTGTGGACAATTCATACCGATGATGGTGGAAGTATCATATTCAAATAATGAAATATAGTTTGAATCGCTTATTATTATTATTATTATTATTATTATTATTATTATTATTATTGTTCGCGATTATGTAAGCAATATGTAGCATAAAGTTAAAGAACCGTTGCACAATTGTTTTACATACACAATCACTTAAAACGAATGGTTTACAAGTTGAGTTTTGTCTCACACAAATTCATGTCCCATATGTACAGGTATTTGTGCCATCTTTTCAAGCATTTTTGTGTGGTTTATTAATGCATGTTTAACTGCAGTGGCAGTGACAGATCTAGACAGAACCTCCTAATTACCTTTGTGAGTACAGTATATCACCAGATGGCGCTATCCTAATCAGAACGTTCGGGGTCGTTATATCATGTTTCCATCCCTGTTTTTCGTTGTAGAAGAACAGGTCTGGCACCCATATGTCTGTCAGTACCTTGTCAGAGAGGGTGATGGCGGTTGCACTGCTTAAGTTGAATGCATTAAATGCCAACCGGGGATCATTCCAACGTTGGCGCAGATAAATGGAAACCGAAAAGTCCTGTGGGCGAGAATCATGTTTAGTTATAAGAACTATTTACAACATAATTAATTTGATGTTTAAGAGCTTTCCTGGGACTTTGGCCCTCTAAACAACCTTGCATTCTGTTTAAACTAGCCATTTATATACCCGAAAGACGTGTTTCATTGACCTGCACCTAGATCACTATCACTGCTGAATCGGTTTAGGTCAATTAACGGAAAATGATCAAACACAAATCCATCTGTTGAATCTTCGGGACGGAACTCGATGTGCCAGAGAGTCTATTTATGGTACTTTTCACGACAAAATTCTGCGGATAGTCCCTTAATCCAACAAATCTGTCATCTTTTTAATTACAATGCATGTATACAGAATGATAATTATCTTATGCCAGATAGTCGAAATAATTACATAAACTGATAAAGGAAATCTAAGAAGCAAGACTGGAAATCTGTTAGATCTATGAAACGGAACTTAAGATTCTGCCAGCTGGGACAATAAAACGATTCATCTGATGTAGAACACATGCCCTTGACATTTATGTCTCCTTGATCGAAAAGTTCAATACGATGCCGAGAAAGAAGCAATAAAATGACAAACTCAAGTATGATGTTCGAAATTTGGCCGATGGCGGCCGCTTTTATTGTGAATCCTTGTACTAAAATGAATTAAATTCTGATGTTAAAATTAAATAATTGTGACAGTGCCAAAATACGTAGATTTTACGCCTGAAAAGACTATAAAACGATTCATCTGATGTAGAACACATGCCCTTGACATTTATAATATGGGTTACGGGATAACGCGTGTACATTTATTTCAGAAAAACAAAACCGCTGGCCTGTCGTTTTTTTTTTTTTTTTTTTTTCGTTTTTACCATAAATGTTTTGGGGTCCTATTAACATAATGTGCTTTTTATGTCAACTTCTTTTGCTACCGGTTAACGGCATACTGGGAGGGTTTATTCATTTTAACATCTGTCAATACAGTTCTCTTCGTTATTCAAGTCCCCTCACTTTGATGTTTAATAGATTGGATTGGTTCCATAGCATTATTGGTTGCAATATAAGACATATAAAGAATATCTTGAGTTTGAATCGAAAAGTTAATGCAGAAAAGTTTACCTTAAGATCAATCGATTTAAGAAATACGTCTTCGTCAATAGATATGATAGACTTGGAATATGGTAAAAGTAAAATTTACTGATAAAAAAGGAGTAACTCATGAAAACACAACAGTTTCATAATATTAGATCATAAGCGTTGCCGACATAGAAAGGATCAGAATGATGAATACTTTACCATATTTGCTGTGTTGAATTCACCGAAACCATTGATTGCTATATCAACTGTGACATTGGTTGGTTTTCCTACATAAAAAGAGCAGTTTCCACAGTTCTCTTAAATGAACGGACAAAGAGAAAAAATCGTTGTTTTTATACCCCAAATAGATCGTGAAATCTCATTCTGCATGCGCGCGCACACACACACACACACACACACACACACACACACACATGCGATATTTATTTTAAAATATTGAAGATTAAATTATAATCCGTAAAGCATGACCGGCGCAGACGCTTGGAACAGGATTTTTTTTAAAACTCCCATCACCGTGTTTTCTTTATACCCCAGTTGGAGACGAACTTAACACGGTTCACTTACCATCAGGCAGATGCGGACGTATTCGGCTGTCATATGTGCCGTTTGTCAACACGCGGTTGAAGGAGGCGTGTTGCTCTGCTGTGCTATGTTTGTTATGGAACGAAAACATAATTGATAGATGATGTGGTAGATCAAATACCATAGCTTGAAATTGCAAAAAGACATTGGCATAAGATTTTGGTTTTACATTTATGGTTAAACTTAAAAAGCCAATACGTTTTCACACGAAGGGCGTCACATTACCACATTCTACACTGAAAAAGGTCTTTGTTGCGTACAACCTGTATTTGTGCCAGTTTTAAGAACGGTTCATTTGGAATGACCGTGTTAGCAAGGTATGTGTCAAAAATAGAGGTGGACCATTTAAATAAACTGTATCAAATGAATTCAATTTAAATATCTGGATAAAAAAGTAAACTTGAATAAATGGGTGATTTAATGTGTAAGACAACAGAGTCCCGCCAACAAAAAGTTAGTTAAATAACCATAGCACGTGCATTTTAGTCAGTATCTAGATTAATGGCGTAAATGCGTAAATTAAAGGCGCACTTGGATAATATTGGTAATTAGATGGTGTAGTTGCACATCAATAAAAATACGTAAAATTCTTTAAAATGGTTCATGCATGAATCGCCTCTTGTTTCTTGTTTGAAATACCCTTGTCATCAACGAGACGCGGTTAAATTTATTACGTACACATTTTTAAAAACAGCTTTGTCAGGCAATCCTGTGAGAAATTCAATTAACCTTTATGAGACACACAAATACGACACTTGAAAAAAAATAGAATTCCATCATATTAAGTTAAGAAGAGATAAACTTACCTTAGCGCAGGCTGAGATCTACTCCAGCCAAATACATTTAGTAATACTGACAAAGTGAAGTATGATATAAGCCTCTCCATTTCGGACTACACTCACTCGTCTGAGGACGGTAGACAATACAGCAAAGTTACCGTTCTAATTATACGTATGCGATGGGCTTGTGGTCAGAACAAAAAGTTTTAGTCTTACCCACGATGTGTCATAGACGATTAAAAGAATACCTGGTGACAGATAAAAGATAACATATAGCCCTCTCAGGCTGGGTGTTCATAAGGGGGCGCTCGTAAAGAATAGCTTTATTTTTCTGAGACTCATAATTCCAAACCGTTAACTCCAAATAAACAATTGTTTATTTATTTATTTATTTATTTATTTATTTATTTATTTATTTATTTGATCAGTGCCGCTTACAAGTAATGAAAAAAGACTAAAATTATAATATAAGTATATAAGGCTAATAAAAATCTCGGCTATGTTAAAGAAGACTTTACATGTAACATAAACAAGATTGTTCAAAGTATAAATAAATTGCACAAATATTTAGTAAGATAACGCAGACGCACAGTGTGAAATCCCCACGTCTCAAATTAATTGTGAACACGAATAGATAATCTAGATGATCGCATTGGAGGTACCTTTTTAGGTACCCTCCACATTTGTCATTTTCCTAGTGTCTCTATCGCCAACTATCTAAGCAACCTATTAATTTTTTTCAACTTGCTTATCTAAAAAATACAGGAAGCAGACGACTTGATTCCTGTTAAATTTCTAGCCCACATTGTTGAATTTACAAATATAAGTTAGCTCTCTATATATTAACCCTCCCATCCCCAGTTTGTGCTGGCCGCATTTACTCACGGAATATGAGCTGTTGGGAGGGTGCATGCACATCGTCTTTTTACTGGTATTAGTATGAAATTAGTTATAACGAAGTTGAACGCAACATGAGGCTGAATCATTCACAATGCATTGGACATACTTAAGCCAAGCCAAGTACATTAACGCGATTGGGTCTCCTGGCCATCCGGTGGCATTACACGGTCAAAATCAAAGATATTGTAGTCTGGTTGCGAACATGCCTTTGAGTACCTCAGCGTAACATTCTTTATGTGTGCTGCGTGTACCCAATTAACAGGTGTGTAAGACACCTGGCGATGTATTAGTCACAATTACAGCACTTCGTGTTTAACATAATCCCATTAAGGATGCAATTTATCTTTATTCAATATTTATGGTACAATTAAAAGAAAAGGTGACCCCCTACACAGAGTATTCTAATGTACTGTACATATAAAATTATTGTGGAAATAAATCATTGCCTTGTCAGAGGGGACACTTTTCTGGTAGTAGTTTAGTATAGCTACTTATCAGGGGCGGATTTAGGCCGTCTTCTGGGTCATCCAGAAGACGGTCAGATTTTCAAGTTTACATAGATAGGTATGTAATTTTTCCTGTTGGAAGACGGTCAAAATTGGAGGATTGATCAACAAAGATAATCTTGAAGACTGTCAGAAAATAGCTCTGGATCTGCCCCTGCTTATGGAATTAAGTGCTTGTGTTCCTGGAAAAGTCTACATGTTACATTAAAAGCATAATTCAATAAATCATCAAAGAAATTAAAAGTTTTAATTCAAACCCTTACAGCATTCAGCACGTGTGAGAAACGGGGCCAACACATGGGGCTGGTTGATCAAAATAACTCAGCAAGGAAATTGGCCAGAGAAGTCCTGTCCAGTCAGTGGAAGTCAAATTTAACATCGTACCCGTTTTATCTAAAAACAGGCTTGACTTATGTTTCAGACACAGTGCTTTATTTAACTGACTGACTTATCTTGAACTGATCTAAAGAGTAAAAGAATCTTGTTGGATCATTGTCAGAAATGTGATAAAATAATTTAGATTTTGAAAACCGCGGAAAACCCATTTTGATTGCTCACACGATTACCGTTACTTAACCAGACCTTTGTATTCAACATAAACGACTTCTTGTCAATGCTATTTCAAAACAAAGGTACGGGAATCCCCGGTCTGTGTCTGCTATTTCTGCACAATTAAATACACACTCCAATATATAATATTGAATACGGCAAATCCGATGAAAAAAACAAATTTCGCTACTTTGTCAACATTGCTCATAGTTAGCCAAGGTTTGTCGAATTCAGATGCTCCTAAAGCGCCATTGACTTCTACGTGAAGATCCACTTTGCTCCCATTCAAGTCGGTGGAAAACGAATCCCTGAACTGAAATCAAAATTTATTTTTTAAATTTATTTAAATTAATTTTTATTGAAATAATGCACTTTATTTTGTTTATAAGTGCCTGTATTAAATTCGACTTTACAATGTTTTCTCCGAGTTAAATTCTACCGTCCTTAATATATTGTATCATAGCCGACGGTGGCTCTTGCAGACAGGCACTTACCGCTTTGTTTATATTTCCAGCCAATGCTCCAATTCCTTTCTTTTCTCGTTTCTTTTCCTTTTGTAGCAGCACATTAACTGCCGTGTACTCCAACATGGAACCGAATACGAAGAGAAGACACGCTGTCAGCCATACGTCAGCCGCTGTGATGTAGGAGACAGTTGGAAGGCGGTCTTGGATGCTGACGCTTTGCGTTGTGATGGTGAGAACGGTGATAAGCCCGATTGAGACTCTTGCTGGGACTGCCCGTGGGTCTATGAAGAAGTTGAGGAAAGACAACAGCACAACGACAACTGTAGGGGCATAAAGTTTCAACAAGTAGAAGCGTATGTCTCGTTTGAGTTGAAACTTGACCGAGATGCAGCTATATTCTCCTAGGAAAGATATAAGGTTTACGGCGAACTCAATATACAGTACTTGTAAGCAAAGGTGAAATGAGGAAGCAATCAGCCCCTCGAGACAAATTAATGTTGTATTGTTATTAATGTCCCAACCTAATGGCCTCCCTTTGTGATATACAGGTATTGAGAAGAAGTTATGGTAATTTCTTTTCGCAGTTTGAGAACTAACCAAATTTTTTTTGCCGATTTTCGAAACGTGCCACCTCGGTGTATGTTATCTTGGATAGGGAATTTACCTGTGATAGTTCTTCCTGTGCAGTTGTATATTAGTGACCAATCCTCTAAGGTAAACTCTGGAGTAAAGAGGGTCGTTTCTGTCTGAAGAGGATCGTCGTCCCATTGATATATCACGTCGTTGGTGGTATGTGCGTCTGAAAAGTATTACAAAGGACAAGTTTTGTCTATTCATTAGGATATTTAAACTACACATCGTATTGCCTTTAACGTGTTTAATAACATGAATTCTATTTAGTAGTTTAAAGATTTTAAATGAACACGCACTTTGGTTGAAAATGTTCATCTTTTTAAGATATCTAGATCGTATAACATAAGTTGAAACTGTGCATAAAACAACCAACCAAAGCTTTAAAGGGCAACTTGGTGGACTTACAGCTTTTCATCTGTATCTCACATGTCTGAGAATCCATTGGGAAATCGATGAAGTTATAAAGACAGCCTAATTTTAGCGATAGCCTGCAATAAAAACCATATGTATACAAAGTCAGGCGAATAAATAAACCTGCAAACATTCATAATACGTATTTTGTCAATAATGAAAAAAACATTATATCATTTACAGTAAGTGGCAGTTATATCTCTCCCACCTCTGTCAATTTAAAGAACAACAGTATCATCAAGTTGGCCAGGGTATTACTAGTTGTTGAAATACACAAATATGGCTGAAACAATTTTGAGGATAAAAACAATACTTTAAGATTTTACGAATCAAATCAACTCCATAACTGTTTTGTAGGGTTGCTATAATAACGCACACATAACCAGGTTTTAGTCAATGATGCAAATGATGCATTGTAGTCCAGTAGTCACTTCTATGCCCCTTATAGATGAACTTAAAAATGGTTTCGTATTGATTTCTGGTCCAACAGGGTCCCAGGATAACAGAGATTGTCATTTTGGCAACTTTGAGCGACTTAAAATACCCGAAAAGACCGTCAAGCTAAATCTGTTTTAATGCTTAATCGGACACTGTATCAAGAAAGAAACTTTAAAGAACATAACACGTCTAGATTCCGAAATTGTAGTAGAATCGTGCTTACAGTACTCATAGTCTATCATCAAATCATTTTAGCATGTTTATATGAAGGTGTTCAGTACCGTGCACCTAACACATAACAATGTACGGTTGTATATGCGAGCGTTAATGTACGTGTGTGAACTTTACCTTTGTGAGTAAAGGATATCACCTTCAGGTGAAATACGTATCATGACATTTGGCGTAGTGACGTCATGCCGCCATGACCTTTTTTCGTTTGGAAAGAATAAGTCAGGAACCCAGAGATCTGAGAGCGCTTTGTCGGACAAGGTAACGGTCACGCGATTGGAGTTATTGGCGCTGGCCACCAAACGATGATCGCTCCACATTTGCCGAAGGTATAGATTTACAGTGAAGTCCTGCCAGCAAATTAAAGTATTAGATTAACAATACTGCTTTAGCAATCGAAACTACATGGTAGACCTATATAGTTTTATACTTTTTAAAGAAGAGAACCATTCTTGTTGATTTTCAAGATTTACATTGTCTGCAAAGCGTCTTTATCAACAGAAGTTTATCTGAATATTTATAAAAATAAATGTTATGATTTCACATATGACCGCCGATTTAATATACAGGTACGAATACACAAACATATAGGTACTGTACACAAACATACATGTATATTGTGTTCTCAAATATTATAAAACCATAATTTTACACCAGCACGACAGTTGTAAAACAAAAGCAAAATATTCTCTATAGTCAATACACGAACTACAGCTAGTATATGACGAAACGAGAAGAAAATACAATAGCTACCATGTCTGCTCCGTTGAATTCACTGAATATGTTAATGGCCAGGTTGACTCTGATGGTGTCTGGTGTTCCTGTGGGAAAAAACAAACAATTGAGGGAAATGACTACATGTACAAATGTACAGCCCACTGCCCGCCTTTCACTTACAGGTTTAAGTAAACGCAATGCTTCCCTAATGCATTAAGTCAAAGGAAAGTCAATTAATAATAAACTGAGACGGCATATGCGTCAAATATTGCTTTCCATTAAAGTTTACAAGCATAAAAGGAGTACCAGCTAGGTAATTATGCTTTTTATCGAACTGAGTGAACTGAGTGAAGACACTAACTTAGTTAACATAATATTCTAAAATTGTCCAGGACGACCGCACTTACTATAATGCCCTAGTAGACGCTGCTGTTCCTTATCAGCGAAATATCTATGATTTGCTATACCCCCCTCCCCCGGTACTTTACTTACCCACACTAAGATGAGGCCGAATTCTGCCATCGTATCCACTGCTGAATGTTAAATGGTCCAGATTCAATAAGGCATCATGTTCATTATCGAAGGGTGACCTGTTGAGATAAGATTAAATAAACTAGAAAAGCACTCCGAGAGCGCAGACCTCCGCCAAGGCAGCAAAGTCTTCACCCAATGCCGTTTCACCCATAAATTTTCATTCTATAATGATTTAGTTTTTTGATTTTTGATTATTGATTGATTATTGATCCACCACCAAAAACTTATCATCTGTTCCTTGACCCACTTCTGACAGTTCCTGAAAATTTCATCAAAATCGGTCCATAACTTTTTGAGTTACCTGTATGTTGATGACAGACAGACAGACAGACAAAAAAAACAAACAAGGGTGAAAACATAACCTCCTTGGCGGAGGTAAAAATAGCTTGTATTTGTATACTTGTTCTTTAATTATTTGAAGGCGCCTAATCACCTTATTTCTACAACTGGCTTGAAACTACCACGCTATCTCATTACATCTTGGTAAGCAGAACGCTACAGAGCACAATTATCTAATGCAGTATGTCCTAACATGCCCAAGCAGAGACCACAAACACTGTACATGTAAGTGCACTTACTTTTTCGCCATTTGTGCAACTAAATATTCAACGTTGTATAAAACCAGCAGCACCATAATACATGGGCAAGGACGTGAAGTCTTATTCGTTGGCATGATTGCTGCTATGGTTCAGGCGTCCATTGTTCAAATCTATATCGTCTGCTACCGGGAGTAAAAAAACCTCCATCAACTCATATCTCGGTTGTCCAATTGGAGCTTGACTTAAGTTCACATGTGACGTTTTCCTAACCCTAGTCCCTGGAGCGTCTTGAATGTGTTAGCCGACGGTACAATAATGAAACTCAAGACTAATACACAAAGTGATACGCACTATTATTCATTGATTTGATATGTATCCTATTAATACTTTAAACAAACCTGTGGAAATTACCGTATCGCCGTTGATTAACGAGTCCGACCTCATGTACAATGAAGCTATATTGTAGTTAAAGACGAATTCAAAAAGGGTATAGCTCTCACGTTTAACCCCCCCCCCACCCCCCACCAAAGAAAAAAATGTATAAAAAGAGAAACATTACACTTTTTCTACCAGTACCCTTCATTTTAAAGTAAATCTAGTTTCGTCTCTGTTTCGTATTAAGTCTATTAACTGAGCGAAGTAAGTCAAAGAAACCATTCTTGTGTACCCCTTTGTAAAATCGTGAATCTGCATGCGGTGCAGATATATACATTTATTGTAATTGAAAGCGGTGCGCAGATTACCAAGAAAGTGTTAGTGCACAACCATCGTCAAAGCAATAACTGCATGATCTATAGTCTATAGAAATGCAGGTTCATTGAATAAGATATGAGATGTTCACTGTGTTTATGTAGTTAATTACATCTAAAATGACACCTTCCTTACCGACACCAGTGGTTGGCTGGGACGGGATGAATACAACGTGTTGTTTTTGGTCTTTTAAGACAACGTTCGTCTGTCTTGGCACAAATATCCAATATTTAAGAATATTGTTTTGTTAAGCAGTCCGACCCTCCTTTTTTCAACAGTAAGTGACACTGTGGGTATAGATGTTGACATTTAAGCACTAGTATCAACGACGTTTCATGTGAGTAGTATGCTATGAAACAATGTAGAAATGCATCGTTCAACGAACAAAATCCCGTTATAAGATTGACAAGAAAATACACTTGTATATTTCCACATAACCTGTTCCTTTTGAGGTATAAGAGCTATTTCTCCATGTCAATAGATAGATGTTAACCAACGACATACCGTTGTCTCGTTTTGGCAACAACAAAATGACATAATACATACCAAAACGAGGTCACCGATGCTACGTTTAGGCACCAACTTAAACCTTCGTTTGTTTTCTGGACCCAGCTTGAATGATAAATTACAGTACATAAGCAGAGAAAATCAAACACTCTAAAATCAAGTTTTTGTTCATTGAATGATAAATGGGTTACCCACCGAAAGCATAAGAAAACATGGAATACATATAAGTATATCCTACCCTTGCAAAAAATATGTCACTCCCAACGCAATGCATAAAGTGATACAAAAAATCATGTCATGAATAAATATTCTTTATTTAACTTTTAAATGAATTTTTCCACAAAAAAAAAAAAAAAAAAAAAATTACTGACTGCACGACCAGTGAATAAGCTTACTATAGGGAAAAAATAAAAGCCACATTTTGGTATTTTGTACGGTGTCCTCGGGATTGGGGGACGCACCTGGCGCGTGTACATGTGCGTGGGGTCTAACAGTTCTGTAACGTTTGCGTAGTGATGTCGTTCCACACACGGCGGAAAGCTAGCATGAGTTGATTTTTATTTGCAGGGTTATCATTCAGTTATCCATGTCCGAGGATAATTCACACATTCTTAATGAGATTCTAATCTATGGACTGAGCTAGCCATCAGGGGGTCTGGACGTGGTTCGTATATAACCTGCCTACTGTTGAATTGGCTGTACGTGGAGGAGCATTATCATGCTGAAACATAAAAGGGTGGTCATGGTCCCGATAGGTATTCTCGACAGATGTCCTTAAATTCCTTTCCAGTGCTTGGATGCATGGGTCTGCAGGCCCGTAGCCAGCAATTTCAAAAGGGGGGTTCTTTTTCTGAAAAAGTGGACCTTTTTCCATAAAAACGTGATGTACCTTGATCAAATTTTACCCCGAGTGGACCTTTTTCCCAGCAAAAGGGGCGGTTCTTTCGAACCCCCCGAACCCCCCCTGGCTACGGGCCTGGGTCTGTGTTAAGGTTCCTGTTGACCACTGCCATCTCGTCTACACCACAGTAGCCATTGCACCCCATGCTATGATTATGTGTGGTGAGTCCTGTCGACCAGAGGAAGAAAATAAGAAAAATACTTCTAACCAGCTGTTCTCCAAACCCTTATTATGCCTCATGAAGTCTGACAACGCTTAATTATAACATGCTTTCATCTATTATTGGCTGGTGCCCATGCCAGAGTTAAGGCATACTCCCTCACTCGACGTAGATGGTTCCTGGCAGTGATCTCTGGTGTCCTAACATAAAACCCTACCAAAATAACGGCGATTGTGCACACAACTTCTGGCGTTTGCCCTGTTCTTGTTGAATGTTGCGGTCAAGTTCGTAAATACCATAAGTTGTTTTCAACGAAGAAGGCGCATTGACCTTCTTTCCTCTATGGGTGTGGTTTCCTTCGGTCGGCCTTACCCATAGTCTACCTTGGCAATGTGGCGGGTCAAATCTCCCTCCTATGTCAACTGCTTTGTAAAAAAATGTATCCCTCTCACTTAGGAGCTGAAAATATAATAAATATGGTGTTGGAGTATTTAAATGGTTACGCAAGGTAAGTCAATGTTCTATTACTCACATCCACAATTAACACGACGATCGGTTGCCTAGTTGTTATGTTAGGGGTGACACTTTTTTCTAGGAGATTTTATTTATACAAGGTATATATATATACTAATTTAACAAGAGTACTCATGCATGTAGTTTTAATTTTTCTATAATTTTTCTTTTACATAACAACTAGGCAACCGATATATATACAGACTTGACATTTAATATGGAATATTTCAGTTTCGAAGGTATACTTAGGTAAAAATACGTTCTTTTTTCAAAAACATCCTATCTCATATAAGATTTGTGAATGTAAAAGTGTGCAGTCAGGTGTGTCACTACCAATTAACTGTTTTTCAGGCCTATTGCGCTGCTACATTATGTAATTTGCAGTGATTTAATTGGGTAGTGTTCCTTTGGGCTGATCAAAGCTTGGCTTAGGCAAAGCTTGGTTCTGTCAAAAAGGTATCCATATTTCGACAACTACTGCATAGAAGAATTTGAAATTTTGCATGCAAGCGGTCAGTTTTGCAGTGCGTAAAATGAGTCAAGTAGTGCATTACAAAGTTGTTAATCTAAGGCAGAATGGCGCGAAAAAGACAAACATAACCAGACAGATCATAGCGCCAAACGGAACGGTCCCCACAGTTTTATAGAGTAATGCCCAGACTGATGTACCTACAC